TCCTTCATTAATTGACTTCTCTGTTTCTTCAGAAGCCTGTACGGACACCAACACTAAACCGCATATTTCATTCAACGATCAGTCGATGTCCCTGGTTCTTTCGGTTCGTGACACCATGCAGGCTACTCTCACGTCCATCTCTAATGGTATCACGGACTTCGTACGAGATGTACAGGACTCATCTTCGAAGTGGATTAAGACGTGGAATCTCGTAGTCGTCAACAGCCAAAGTAAAATTCTCTAGAAAACGAGAAATTAGGAGAGAAGGCCTGAATTTCAGATGCAACCATGGTCTACACAGGATCAAGTCCGAACGATTTTGTCAAGAGCGTGCAGATGGTTGCAAACAATCTCAACAGCTATTCTTCTCCAAATCCCGTAGTAATCGACAGGACCTTTTCTTTCTTTCCTTGACAAAGTACCCATTTTTAAGAACTGTTCTGTGGCCATCGAAGCTGGTCTTTTGCTGGCTACATATGCCTCCCAACCTCGATCTGCTGTGTACCTTTTCGCTGATTCCGATGGGGGTAACGATGACACATTCGTCACTCTCTTCTCCACCGCTACTGAATATCAGATAACGGTAAGTCGAACAACGGACCACGTTTTATACCTGAAGCAAGACATCATCTTAAGCTGAATCTCATCGGTGTGGGTAACACCATTTGCACGGCTCCAGAAAACAATGGACAGTTCCCACTGTACTTGCAAAGCCTGTCTGCGATGACATCTGGTTTTGTATATATGACAACGAAACCTGCGATGGTGAGCTACCGTAGCCATTTATCATTACAGTCCTCATGTGAATGTGCATGATAGAATGTGAATGACGAAGGCTCGTCTTATTAATAATTACTGTCTGTATGTAAAGGAACAGTAAGTGCGAGTGTGAGCACCGGAGTGAAATGAATGTGAATTTCACCACAAGGTGTTGGAAGCGGAGCAGTTTGCTTTTTGAATCATATCTTGGTAAATGGTCATCAAGTCGCCAAGACTCATCCGTCATTCTCAGAAATATTCGTAATTTAGCGGGTACCCCGCATATGCATCCTATTGTTATGTTACTGAATTTTAGTGTCTCGGAATTGGGCGAGGTGAATGTTCAAACGAAAAAGCATGACGTCAGCCAGAACCTCTGAAAGATTTTTCTTGTCACAATCCACACAAATATAATTTTGTCCAGAAAAAAAAGAGGATGGTTGCAGTTACCGCTAAGGTTCTCAATCAAAACCATCGGTTGCAGTAAAAATGAATTTTTTTATGGTAAGCGGTTGGGTGAATGAAACACGTTGGCAGAGCTTGTTAGAGCAAAGCATCTACAGAATGGTCTCCAGACATTTGCTTCGACAGTAATGAGAAAGCCAAAGTCTAGTCACATCTATCCCCCCCCCCCCCTGCGTCCGCTAAAATCGGTTTTGTTACCAAATTTTCTTGGAAATTCTAATTAGAAACCATCGCACGTTTAAAACAAAACGCATTCGCTACAATTCTCTCTTGTACAAGAACAGAAAAATTCTGCCCTTAGCATTTTTCACCTCATATGGTTATCTGAGTACCACACTTCTCCTAAACTTTAAATATTTTATTTCTCGAGAAGACATTTACATAAGTATGTTGAATTCTGTGATTGGCTCTTTTTCGCATCATGCTAAAGCCCGGGAAATTCAGCGATAGCGCCATTGCAAATGGGCAGTTCAGATGCTCACGTGCGGAGATTCAACATTTCGATAA